CTAAATAAATATGATATAAATATTGCGACGTGCCAGGTTGGACTATATCGACTTCTATAGCAAGTTCTAAAGAATCGCTGAGTTATGACAGATAAAGGTATTGAAAATTGTGACCCTTTGTGAGTGAGGTAACAGAAGGGGTTCACAGATAAGTATCATCTTCACAACAGACCTGTATGTAGATGTGTATATGAAATTTGAAGAGAGTTGGATGCATATTTCGCTTTCTTTGAGCGTTTTGTTTATCAAAATCTTGAAACCTATAAGGGAGAGATACCAAAAGAAATGGTCCGATTTATACCAGCATTATAGCAGATCTTGTGCTGATGAAAATATTGAGATGTACTAAGTCTGAATGGAATCGGATGTTAATTTCGCGTGTTATGAGCTTCATGGATACTCAAAATGTTGATCCTTTGTGGGGAAGGTACCAGAAGGAGTGAACCGAAATATTCATTCTTCACAACTAACCTTGGGTTAATAAAAATATTATGATGTGTGTAATCTGAAGAAACCCGAATGCCTATTTCGGATTTTATGATCGTTTTTTTGTTATTCAAAAAGTTGACTCTTTGTGGGGAGGTACCAGAAGGAATAGTCCGATCTATACCGTATTTATAACTGATATTGTTTTGACGGAAAGTTTTGACCCTTTGTGGGGGTGGTAGCAGAAGAAATGAACCGAAATATTTCATCTTCACACCAGAACTTGGTTTAATAAAAATATTGTGATGTGTGAAATTTGAAGAGATCCGAATGCCTTTTTCCGATTTTATTATCGTTTTTGTTATTCAAAACTTTGACCCTTTGTGGGGCAGGTACCAGAAGGAATGGTCCGATCTCTATCATATTTTTAACAGATCTTATGTTAATAGAAATATTGAGATGCGCCAAGTCTGAATGAAGTCGTATTTTAATTTCGTATTTTAAAAGCTTCATGAATATTCAAAATAATGATACTTTATGGGGCACAAGAAGAAGGAGTGGGCCGATATATCCCATCTTCACACCAGACTTTAGGTTAGTGAAAATATTGTGATGTGCGTAATTTGAAGACAATCGGACTCTTACAACACATTGAATAAGAGTTATAATTATTCAAAATTGTGACCCTTTGTGGAGGAGGTACCTGATGGAGTGGGCCGATACTGACAATTTTTCCACCTGACCTAGCACTGATGGAAATATTAGAATTTGTAAAGTTGAAGCAAAGTCGAATTATCCTTTCCCTTTCTGTACAGTAAATTACTTTCTTTGAAAATTTTGACATTCTGTGGGGGAGGTTGCAGAAGGAATGGACCGATATTGCCCATCTTCTAACTCAATCTAAGTTTTAAAATAATATTACTTTGTACGAAGTTTGGATCAAATCGGATATTCTCTTTGAGAGATATCGAACGCACAACAAAGTCAACGAGATATATATATTGGAGCTATTTCCAAACCTGAACCGATCGCGATAAAATTTGGGAAAGGTATTTTTGTGCTGTATTTGATATATTCCCCCCGAATATCGCTGTTAAAGACTTCATATTACGGCTGTGGAGAACAAATATAACAAATCGGATGAACAATATATATGCGACCTATAGCGATATCTGAACCGATATCGATCAAATTTGGCACACTTATTTCCAGGCTTAATTTGGTCGTATATGGAAAATTCTATACTATTTGGGCGTTTGATGCACAATCATAGGCAAATCGGACGAAGCTACAGGGCGAGATAAAAAACTGCAACAAAGTCAACCGCCATAATTTTTACATTGTTTTTTTTTTTTTTTTTTTTTTTTTGAATGAAAGCAAAAATTGTCGGAAATAGCATCAAATTTTTAGAATAAGTTTAGATTTGTTCGAATTGGTCACCTTTGGCACGAATTATGGCCTTCAAACGGCCAATGAAACCGTCACAGTCTGACCGAATGTTGGTCTGCGGCATTTTGGCCCATTCAGCAATCTGAAATTGCAGTTGCAGTTTTTTCATCTCACCCTGTATATCTAAATTTTGACCGATTATCTCCAATTTCAATAGGGTTTGTCCTTGGGTCAAACATATAACTTGCGCAAAATTTCATCTGGATCGGGCGACCTGTACTCTGTTTACAAAAATACGTTGACAGACAGACGGACGGACGGACATGCAAACATCGACTCAGTATGTGATTCTATGCAGTTCATGACAAGGAACTATGGATTTATCTCGTGTCCTTTTGCCTGTTACAAACAAATGCACAGAGACATAATACCCTGACCACCTTGTGATGTAGGGGGGTATAAAATGAGATTATATTTCACTGCTTGGTGTCAATTTAAGAAGATAATAGCTAAAAGTGTTGATAACTTCATTTTAATTTACCAATATTTAGGGTATCTTTGCCGAAAACCCAAATAAATAAGTTAAATGGAAAACGTTACATAAGATTCCCAACGACATCTGTTGTAAAATTTCGACATCGGTATTTGTTTACATCTGAAAAAGCTTTTCAGTGAACGTTGCCACTCTCACTGTGCATGGTAACATGCGGGAAAGCTTCTCTTTTCAATTAAAGCGTAGGAAAACATACAAAGCGCATGTCGGTAAAATCCATTGAATGTGTTTGCGTGTGTTCGAATGTAATAAAAAGCTTTCCATATCTCAGCTGTCTGTTGTGCCGGCATTTGTTATTCTTTCAAATACATATAAAGGCATATCCATCAGAGATGATAAAAAAAAAATAATATCCAGATGTAATTTCGATAATTTCTCGAACAGAGGTGACTAGAATTTGGATATATTGCCGTATATCGAATATCTGAGGGACATTGGCCTTAAATCCAAATGTATGCAAACCATATATATTTGCTTTCCCATTATACCATAAAAATGTATTGATATAGTCCTACATCTAGCAAAATGTTGGTAGTCTTTGTTCCGATTTTCAGCACTTCCTGTAATGCCATCGACATACCCTTTGCATTTTCAGTAGTCCTAAGCAATGTCAACAACATACATTCTTCTGTAACACCGATAAGCCAAATGGTAGATGGTTCTTTTCTCAAAAATTGACAAGGCAAATAATATTCCATTTCCATATTTATAAAGAACTGCCAACATATAACTTATAAATCCATTATTTGATGATGATATTTTTTGCTGGGTAGACGTAAAACTACACATATACAGCTTCCAACACAAGTGTCCAACTATTACAGAAAAATTACCAGTATCTATAATTATCACTTTGGTAAAATGGTTTTCTTCCAGCAACCAACCCCTTTTCAAAAACGCCTAAAAATAGTTCCACATTTCCTGAACAACTCTTTCATGTATTTTTAGATCATCTCCTAACGTTGGAGATAAGGATTTGCGTCATCTCATCTATTTTGGATAAAGGAAGAAGCTTTCTGTCGGAATTTCCAGGAAACATAAATGACGGTTTGTTAAACGGCAATATATAATGGTATTCCCATTGATGCCTGCCATGTGGATGTGGATGGATGGAAGGATATTTGATTCTATACTTAGACTTAACGTCTATTTCATTTCGTAACATTTTGATGTCAAGTGTAAATTTAGATTCGAAAAAGGCTAGAAAATGACATGAAATATAAATGATTTTGATTTACCTATAAAATTCAGAAACCGAAATCCTAACCCAATAGTTAAACATGGCCATATTCATATTTTATGGATAAAATGCAGGTTTCTATGGATAGAAGACAGGTATTTTATGGATAGAAGACAGGTCTTCTATGGATTGAAGACAGGTCTTCTATGGATTGAAGATAGGTCTTCTATGTATTGAAGACAGGTGTCTTCTCTGGATAGAAGACAGGTGTCTTCTATGTATAGAAGACAGGTCTTCTATGGATAGAAGACAGGTCTTCTATGTATAGAAGACAGGTCTTCTATGGATAGAAGACAGGTCTTCTATGGATAGAAGACATGTCTTATATGGATAGAAGACAGGTCTTCTATGGATAGAAGACAGATGTCTTCTATGGATAGAAGACAGATGTCTTCTATGGATAGAAGACAGGTCTCTTCTATGGATAGAAGACAGGTCTCTTCTATGGATAGAAGACAGGTCTCTTCTATGGATAGAAACAGGTCTCTTCTATGGATAGAAGACAGGTCTTCTCTGGATAGAAGACAGGTCTTCTATGGATAGAGGACAAGTTGCTCTTCAATCAGTAGATGAGCTGCTCTTCCAACAGAGTTGCTCTTCATTCCATAAAAGAGCTGCTCTTCTAGAAGAGTTGCTCTTAAATCCATAGAAGAGTTGCTCTTCTTCGGATAGAAGAGGGATAAAAGAGTTCCCTCTTCTATCCATAGAAGAGTTTCCTCTTCTATCCATAGAAGAGTTTCCTCTTCTATCCATAGAAGAGTTTCCTCTTCTATCCATAGAAGAGTTTCCTCTTCTATCCATAGAAGAGTTTCCTCTTCTATCCATAGAAGAGTTCCCTATTCTATCCATAGAAGAGTTCCCTCTTCTATCCATAGAAGAGTTCCCTCTTCTATCCATAGAAGAGTTCTCTCTTCTATCCATAGAAGAGTTCCCTCTTCTATCCAAAGAAGAGTTCCCTCTTCTATCCATAGAAGAGTTCCCTCTTCTATCCATAGAAGAGTTCCCTCTTCTATCCATAGAAGAGTTCCCTCTTCTATCCATAGAAGAGTTCCCTCTTCTATCCATAGAATAGTTCCCTCTTCTATCCATAGAAGAGTTCCCTCTTCTATCCATAGAAGAGATCCCCTTCTATCCATAGAAGAGATCCCTCTTCTATCAATAGAAGAGTTCCCTCTTCTATCCATAGAAGAGTTCCCTCTTCTATCCATAGAAGAGTTCCCTCTTCTATCCATAGAAGAGATCCCCTTCTATCCATAGAAGAGATCCCTCTTCTATCCATAGAAGAGATCCCTCTTCTATCCATAGAAGAGATCCCTCTTCTATCCATAGAAGAGTTCCCTCTTCTATCCATAGAAGAGTTCCCTCTTCTATCCATAGAAGAGTTCCCTCTTCTATCCATAGAAGAGTTCCCACTTCTATCCATAGAAGAGATCCCTCTTCTATCCATAGAAGAGTTCCCTCTTCTATCCATAGAAGAGTTGCTCTTCTATCCATGGAAGACCTGTTTTCCGTTTAGAGAATACGGCGAAGATGGCTTCTTAAGAAAGACATATATCAACATTAAAAAAAATTCCCTCCACACTCACCTTCATTTTCGCTCCTTCGTCTGCGCGGCATACTGTGATAATACTGCTGTTTCATTTCCGATTTCTCGGTCGATTCGTTTTCCTGTTTCTCATCTTCGGTGTGTACCGGTGACGATGGTCCCGACGATGCACTGGCTCCCGGCGAGGCTGCCGAATTGCTGCTGCCACTTAGAATGCCATTGGCACTGGCAATGGAAGTACTGTTACCGGCACTGTCAATCGAACCCCGTTTGGCGGCATGCACATAACCCGGAGCCTGTAATGTTGGCGATGACGGCGTAATTCGCTCTTCCGTTTCCACCAGATCTATGGATTTCTTGCGAGGCTTTTCTGGCGGAATGGGTGCAATGCCATTCTGTTCGTCAATTGAACGTTGTTGAGCTGCAGCTGCGGCGGCTGATTTGGCTGGCGGTGGCGGTGGTGGTTCTGATATTTTTGTTGGTGACCTTACCCGTTCGGGGTTGAATTTGACGGGGCTGACATTTTTCGGTTTGGCAGCCGGTATGGGTGGCAAAGGCGGAGACTTAACGGGGCTTCCGATTTTATTGCTGCTACGTGGTTTTATTTCGGGCGGTTGTACCGAATGCCGTATCGGGGGACTGGGTGGCTTATCCTGATGGGCCAAACTGGCCAAAATAGGGGAACGGGTTTCGTTGATTTGATTATTCTGGGGAATCATTTTGTGATTATTTAGCGGGGGTGAGGTTGTGGAGTTGGCCGCCGTGTCTTTCATTTGTATGACGGAGCTGGGTATCAGCACCGTACCCGGTCCGGTGCGTATGATATCGCAACGATTGAGATCACCATGAGATCGTGTGGTCTTGGTTTTGGTAAAATGGGATGTCCATTTCTTTTGTTTTTCAATCAATTCTCGGGAATTGAATTTCCGTTCAGGTTTCTCTGGCTTATCGCCACCGGACGAGCCGGACAAAATGGCGCTAACACTACCCACCCCAGAGCTAGATGATGACGATGAGGTAATGTTATCCTCGGATTTTAATCTTGAAATGTTGTGTTGGAATTTTGGACTTGGTTCCATAATAAATTTGGAATTTGCCAGAGGCGGAACTATGCCGCCGTTCAGCTGATTACTACTGTTATTGTTAGCCATTGAGGCAGCCACCTGACAACCGGAAGGGAAGGGAGAACGCCGTTTGGGTGGTGATATCGAACGATCCGATGAACGCGACGACGAACGATCCGAATGATTGATGTCACCGCAAAGGTTGTCTTCACGCGAACCCGACCGTTTGACACTGAGATTGGAATTGCTTTCGACGCCTAACTTCTCGAAAAGGGCTCGGGCGTTGTTGAATCGCGCCGAATGTGATTCTGTGCGTACGACAGTGGCGGGTGTACCCGTTGTGTTTGCGGCAGCGGCGGCCGCTGCGGCTGCTGCAGCTGCGGCGGCGGCAGCAGCACTCAATTGTTCGACTGGTTGGATTTCAATGGGTTTGCGTTGGAAAAGGTTCGCAATTTGCGAAACCTTACCAACCGGCTGCATGGGTTTCTCCATTTTGACGGCAGCAGCTATTGTGATGGGATTTTCTTAGAAAATGCTTCTTCTGTGGCACAAGGGATGTCTGCAAAGAGATGGAGGACAGAAAGAGAGAAAACCATTTGTTAAAAAAAAATGGGAAACAACACTAATGGATAAAAGGTAAAGCATTTTTTTGGAATTATAAACAGTTTGAGATAGTCACAAAAGAGGATTTTTAGGAGAAATAATCCTGATTTTTTGAAGAATACTTTTAGAGGTTATGTAAGCAATTTACCCCACTTACACATTTTTTGAAAATTTCGGATAACGATTCCATAGAATCGCCCGGCAATATCATAGATACAACTACGAAGATTTAGTTACTTAGGCCAACAAAGGGGTCCTTCTGGTCGTTCTTTAAAATTTTTTTAAAAACTCCTTTTAAAAGTTATCCTAGCATGTAAAAATATTTTACAAAAAATTATTGTTTAACATTTTGATCCATTGTTGGGGGAGGTACTTGATGGAGTGGACCGATAATGTCTATTTTTGCTCCTGACCTAGCAGTGATGCAAATATTAGGATTTGCAAATTTGGAGCAAAATCGGAGTATCCTTTCCATTTATGTGCAATATTTTTGGCAAAATTGTGACCTTATTGGGGGAGGTACCTGAAGGAGGAGACCAGGTACCCACAAAAGGTCACAATTTTCCCAAAAATATTTTACTGCACAGAAAGGGAAAGGATACTTCGATTTTGCTAGGTCGGGTGCGAAAATAGACATTATCGGTCCACTACATCAAGTATCAATGGGTCAAAATTTTAAACAATAATTTTTTGTAAAATATTTTTACATGCTAGGATAAAATATGATGTAAGAGTCAGATTACAGGCATCACAGACTTAGGGTTAGTCTAGTACAAACAGTCTAAATTTTGAATATCCATAAAGCTCATAAAACGCGAAATTAACATCCGATTCCATTCAGACTTGGCACATCTCAATATTGCCATCATTTCCAGATCTGTTATAAAGATGGTAGATATCGGAGCATTCCTTCTGGTACCTCCCCCACAAAAACGAATAACCTAAACGACCATAAAACCCGAAATAAGTATCCGGTTTTCTTTAAATTACACATATCACAATATTTTTACTAATCCGAAGTCTGGTGTAAAGAAGGAATTATCGATCCACTCCTTCTGGTATCTTCCCCACAAAGGGTCAATGTTTTGAATAACCAAAGAGGTTATGAAATCCGAAATAAACATCTGGTTCTTTTCATATTTCACACATGCCATTATTTCTACTAACACAAGATCTGCTGTGAAGATGGAATATATCGGTCCTCTCCTTCTGGTACGCCCCCCACAAAGGTCAAAATTTTGAATGTCCATGGAGCTCATAAAACACGAAATTAACATCGGATTTCATTCAGTCTTGGCACATCTCAACATTTCCATAAACACATGGTCTATTATATAGATGGTAGAGATCGGACCATTCCTTCGGGCACCTCCCCCACATAGGGTTCAAGATTTTGAAAAACAAAACGCCCAAAGAAAGCGAACTAAGCACCCAACTCTCTTCAATTTGCACACATACAAAAGTGTTTGCTAACACAAGATTTGTTGTGAAGATGCTACCTATCTGCAAAGGGGTTTGAACCTGGTACCTCACGCATAAAGGATCACAATTTTCAATACTTTTATATGTAAATATTTCTTTCAACCAGAAAAATGAATATTTTGACTTGCTACGATCCCGTATATAGGGAGTTTTTAAACATATTTTCAAAAAAGGATCAAAATTCCCTTTGAAGATTCGCTTGAGGGTTAAAAAATCCACAATATTAATCCTCGTATTGATACAAGTAATATTGCCAAAGTAACAATATTCCTAAAATGTAAGGGTCCCAAATAATCGTAATCCTAAAAATCCCAAAAGTGTGGAAGAGTTTACCCCCTTTGCCCCCTTTAGATTGGTTCCTTTGCGATATAAAAAACGCCGATACATGTGTCGGCTATTTTCAGCTCCACTTTCATAATCTGCTGGATGTGAACTCTAATTATTTTTTGTGTTGCACCGTGTAATTTGTCTAAAATAGAGCAAGTGATTATGTCTTGCATTAGGTTTAAGAGATACAGAGTGAAAATAGGTTACATTTTGGCGTGGAGGGAACTTATAATTATATCTCTTTATAAAGGAACGAAATTCGAAGTAAAGCCAGTAAAAACGCAACTAAGTTCGGCCAGGCACAACTTTTAATACCCTTCATTATTTGGAAGGAATTTGAAACATTAAAAAAAATCGTCGAAAAATACCGGCTAAATAAGAACCTTTATAATGGGGGCGAGGACCTGCATAAGTAATTTTTTGTCATTGGCTGTAGTACCAATTTCGAACTTCAAATACGAATTTTGAACTTATTCCGGTTCGTTATATGTGGGCTATAGGAAGACGTGGATTTGCATAGAAATTGTTCTGTTATAGGTTAGAGTATCCATTACGAACTTCAAATTCCAAATTTGAAACAATTCCGGTCTATAATGTCTCTAAAATCAAAAAAATATCGAATATTGGGAGGTACCGTTATGTAGGGGGCTATACAAAGACGTGGACCTGCATAACTATTTTTTCTGATCAATAATATATATGTACTTTGTTGGGTCTGATATGAGTATTTCGAGGAGTTACAAACGGAATGGCAAAGATAATATGCCCTCCATACTATGGTGGAGGTTATAAAAATATGTAGAAAATATCATTTCCCCAGTCCAGAATATGAATTGGAACCATGATTTTATTATTTTTATTTATTCCCCTCAAAACTTTACCATGTTTACACTGTGTTCCAAATAATGCCAAATCACAAACAAAACAACAACGAGAAAGAAACCTAAGAACACCAGCTGCAATCACACCAAGAGTTTTGATGACAAAGCGAATTTGCTGTTGCTGCCTTTTATTTAACAAGTTTCAATTTCAGTTCGGGTTCAGTTCAGTTATTTTTTTCAAAGAATTTTACAACTTTCAACGTGTAATACTATCACAAAATCCGATTTGAAAATTAGTTCCACATTGAAAGAAAAAAAAAACAACGCGATTTCCGATTTTCTGCTGTTTTCGCTTTTAAGAATCGCAACTCGTCGCTGAAGAGAAGCACTGAAAATACAATTTCCAACTAAATCAGAAACGTTTTCTTTTGGTTTTTGGGTTGGGGTTCGGTTCGGTTCACACTGTCTGTGGCCCAATCACAACCTCTTGTCTAGGCCGATTGTTATTGGGTTTGTGTGTGTTTGTGTGTCTTTTAATTTTATCTGTCAACGTAGGAAAATAAAAACAATCTGAAGTGGAACAGCATTGATGACGATGGCAATGACAGCGCTGAGTAGCTAACCGCCATCGTCACCAGCGACGTTAATACATGTTTAGAACAGAGAAAATGTATAAAAGAAAATAAATATAATAACCGAATGGAAAACAACAAAGAAGGAAAGGAAAAGAACAACCACAACAAAATAATAAATTACTTTTATGACAGAATGGGAAAATAAACAAAAAATAAATAAAAGCTACAATAAAATAAATTGACACTGTAAAGAGGAAAAGTGCTGGGTGAGGTCGCATCGGTTGGAACAGTATTTTCAAAAAAGAAAATTGAATGGGAAAACTAGATAAAGGGTCATGTGTTGTAGAGCGAGCTTTTTTGTATTTATGCTATAAATATATTGTATACTTTTAGGCGCTACGAATAATATAAAAATAAAATAACAATATATATACTATACTATACTATGCTATACCAAACTACACTACAATGTGAGATAAAAAAAAACTGCAACAAAGTCAAACGCCATTATTTTTAAATGTTATTGAATGAAAGCAAAAAATGTCGGAAATAGCATTTAATTTTAGAATAAGTTTAGATTTGTTCGAATTGGTCACTTTTAGCACGAATTATGGCCTTCAAACGGCAAATGAACCCGTCACACGCTGCCCGAATGTTGCTCTGCAGTGTTTTGGCTCATTCCAGGTGAAACGCTTGCTTGAGATGATCGACACTTGGGTATTTTTAGTGCCAAACTTGCTTTCCAAATTACTCCAGACACAATAATCCAACGGATTGGTATCCGGAGATTTTGGTAGCCACTGTGCGCTGGAAATGAAGCAAGGAACCTCATTTTATAACGATGGTGCTGAGTCCTGTTGGAATGTCCAAGGTCTGCGGCCAAAATGTTTACGTGCCCAAGGCACGACGATTAATACGAGCGGAGAGCGACCATCGGCTGTTATGGAGGCCCACACCACCACCATGGCCGGCGCTTGAGTTCTGGTGGCCAACCGAAGGTGCACATTTTCAGCTGACCTCTTGGGCAAGTAAACACCATCAATGTTTTCTCATTGGAGACGGAAAAAACCAAATTCGGCAGTTCACCACTTTCGGCCAAGCGAAGCAACTCTTTAGCTATTTTGAGTCTATTTTCTTTCTGTTGCGGTGTAAGTACTTGCACTTAATGGAATTTTAATGGCTTTACCCGAGCTTATTTTTCAATATATCCCGAATGGAATATTGCATATGTTCCATCACGAATAAGTTTTTTTCTGGAAAATTCTCACCAAAATGCTTTTTTGTACGCTTGTAAACAATATAATGAGCTGTCACTGGAATAATTTTAACAGCAGTGGGACGACTGGCTGTGAAATGACAGCAGTCTGAATTTGGTTGCAGTTTTTTCATCTCACCCTGTATATTCTTGATCAGTGTAAAATTCTAAGACGATTTAGCCCTGTCTGTCCGTGCGTCCAGAGTTAAATCGAATAAAGATAGACAGCTACAATTTTGCACACATCACTCTTTTGTCTCCTGGCAGGTTAAGTTCGAAGATAGGCTATATTGGTCAACGATATCGTATGGCCCCCATATAACGGTATCCTAGCGATATTCGGTATTTTGATGATTGTAATGTTCTGAAAATCCACAAAAGAAGTTGCTTCTGAGTACCTTACTCCCTGGAAGAGCGGAGTGGACTATATAGATCCACGATATCGTATATCCTCCATATAACGGTGCCTCCCAATATTCGGTATTTTGATGATTTT